ATGCCAGGAAAAAGTTGACAGTTACGTCCGTCTTGGCCAGGAAATAAATTTTTGCCTTATCTAGTCAAAAATCCTTCTGCTGCAATTTTTGGCTAGATAACGGCAAAAATTTATTTCTTGGCCAAGATGGACATAACTTGTCAACTTTTTCAAGGCGGTTGGCGCAAATTTTACAGCAACGTTCACACCCTCAGTATGTTGAATCAGAAGGGCCGTGTCCGCCTCTTCAACATTGCTGTGGTGAAGGCAGTGATGCGTGTTTTCGCTGACCAAAGTAAAACATCGAACTCGGCTAGCGGTGGAAAGAATGATGGAGCAAAAGCTTGGAAGGTTCCTTCGTGACCATATAGATAATCAGAATCCCTGACAGACAAGTGACGTTTCTACAATGTTTTTGTGATCAAATGGGAAAATAAAAGACTACACAGTTGGTTTTCGAAGGTGATGAATATACATCAGGCAGGAGCAAGGTACTATGTTAAGTATGCAACTCAGAATCGAACAGCCTGGCATAGCTGCGTTCGAATTGAGGGAGCACTTTATTAATGTCACTAAACATGTGAATTTTACACCAAATGTTCAAGCGCTCTTGATATTCTCGATATTCCAGCAATGTTAAACGAAGGCTGCGAGATGGAACGGCCTGCGATTGGAAGGGCCATTTTTGAGTTTATAAAATGGCCCTTCCAATATCTTTACAAATTTTCAGCTTCCTATTTTGTCTAGTACACAAATTGTTTTTCCGCTAAAAAATTTGCATATTTTTAAGACGCCCGTGAAAGGGATTTTAGAGTTTATAAAATGGCCCTTCCAATCGTAGGCTGTTTTCAAAAATTTGAAAAAAAAGCAAAACAGAGAACTGGCAATCTGTGGTGAGAGGGAATACGACGATGAAACAACAGGCGATCAAAGTATTAAAATATAGCATTCTGACCATTCAATCACGGCACGAAAAACAGTGAAATACGCGAGGCCAATCCTTCGAAAATACAGTTAGGATCATGAAAAAGTATCTAGAAACCGGGGAGCCAAACTCTTCACAAAAAAAAAAAAAAAATCATCTATTGAGGAGGCCTGAAAGCATCAGAATAGAAGACAAAACCTGTAGGTGTGGTCGGGCTCAAGTGAGTCGATGACACATTCGCATAAAGAGGCCTGTTGTTGGATGGTACGGACTTCATTATCGGAGGAATCATCGAGGACACGGATGGTGTATTCAGTAATTTCACTCCCGTTGCAGCATGGTGCTCGCCACCGTGCTTGTAACTGTCTACATCCTGAAAACTGTACTGTAAGCAATCTGTTCCATCACACAGACTAATAGTTTTATCACCACAACCACACAGTGTCAGACACCACAAAAATATAAATTTAGAAAAATATAAAAAAAAGAAGCTGCTCTGAGGGGACTGTACTGCGCCTCTTTAACAGACTTTATTTTTAGATTTTTTAGAGATTTTATTTTAGCCCCACATCCCCAGTATCCCCATTTTTCAGCTTATTCTTCGACTACATGCAATTTTTTTCATATTTCTAAACACAAGCATTATTTATTTTTACATATTACATATGGCACAGTGGTAAGCAGCGTTAATCTTATGCTGCATGTCAAAGGTTCCACTCCGCTGATGGCACAGACCGATTTTTTTAATAATTCACCAATCATTTCGATAGAAAACTGGTAGTGGTGCACATCTGGGAGTCAAATCAGCCGTCCCTTCTTCACAAACAGTGCCCGAAACGGCAGCCAACGACCGTCGCTGCCCGTGGCAGGTGCTGTTGGTACTCGCTATTACTTCGGCTACTTTCGAGTGCTTCCACCTCTCACAGAAGGTGAATTGTGAAGAGGTTTCATTTTTTAATTACGCAGTTGATCGGCTTCTCGCTATCGTCACAGCCGACACCGTATCCATTCTGCTCACAACAGATTTTTAATTAAAAGCGGCGCATATCAAGGGCCGGTTTTTGCGACAAGTTCTCGCGGGGTCATATTTGGTGAGTGCTATGAGGGGCGCCAAAGTGGAAGCTGACTTCGTTTCGTTCCGAGATTTTGGATGAATCACTGCAACAGATGAACGGATAAACACACACACACACACACACACACACACA